CGGCGAGCCTGCTCCTGCAGCATCATCATCAGAGCACCCAAGTCAGGTGCTGCAGATGCAGGAGCTGCTGACAGGCCGGCCTCCGTGGTCAGCAGCTGGCCCTCCGACTTTTGCAGCGCTGCATTACCAAATCGTCTCTGGTCCGTCTCCATCTAGCGTTGACTTCGGGTACGGATACCCTCCATGTCGTCCTTTGGTAAAATCGGCATGATTTGATCCCACTTCTGACACCAATTGTTACGAGCTTGGGGTTCGAGACAATTAAAAACTGTCGATTGAATTACCAAAATTGACACTTTAATTACAGAACACTAATTACAACTTAAAACCACACTAATAATAAAACACAATTGTACTACTGATCACTTTAGTTCGCAGTTGTATCGCTTCGAAGTATTCGCTTATATCGCGAATTTAATACTGACCCGGTCGTGGTCTATACCGGCCTTATATAGGGCCATCTAGTATGTTCGAGTATATATCGGTCCAGAAATTTCTAGAAGGTTCTTGACTCGCCTAGTTCTGCTACTCGATACTAGAGGGCGCTAATGGTAACTAGTGTTGCCATGTACAAAACATTAATAGTGGCGCGCAACAGAATCAAAGAGATTTAAATATATAGGTATATACTATAGAGCGGCCATAGGCAACATTTGCATACAAAAACTTTGAGCTCGCGCGTGTGTGACGCCCTCTAGCTAAACATAGCAAAACTACGCTGAGTATTTATTAGGAACATTTCAACTATTCCCCAGTAGGTGACGCTAATAAATGTGAGGTAAAAACCCGTTTTAGGAATGTTACCGTTTCGACATCAAAGTACATATCGATAATATTGTTTTTTTTTATTATATAAATCTATTTATTAAGACTCCTATCATACCAAAAAATCATATAAACTTTTTAAGTCATATATAGTCAAGTCAATAACGTCATGAATGAATTGAAATGTCACGAAATAAAATATTTAATTTCCAATAACTAAAAATCAATTCAAATAGCATTCACATTCGTGGCATTTTGGATGACGTCACTAGGTCCATTAGACGATATAATAATAGCATACGATAGGTCGATCGGCGTCGAAGGCACATCGCGAAACTTCATATCAAATAAGAGGTAGCGCCTCCATGTTTTTCAAATTAGTTTCTTTTACAAAAATACACTTTATTTTAGGAAAGCATTGAATTTAAAGACGTTGCATAATAAATTATTACACAAATTCACAAGTTTGCGCGTTTACCGCTAAAAAGAACACCTTTGTGGTATCCTCAATTTCAGAGCACTGCCCTTGTTGTCGCATCCAGTAGCAGAATCTTCGACGTCGACATATCGAATGACCTGCAGCAACATGTAATTGTAAAGTGACAAGTGACACAAGAGCCAATTTATCAACTTCTAAAAAGCTTGGCGTACTCAGGACAGTATTTCATGCATGCACACCGTTTGCAACTTTACAAGTGCAGGATCGACCCCACACGGAATACTGTTCTCATCTCTGGGCCGGGGCTCCCTAGTGCGAGCTCCTTCTATTTGACCGCGTAGAGGAGAAGAGCGTCTCGAGTCGTCGACGACCGAGTTCTCTTTGAGTGGCTCGACTCACTAGCACTGTGTAGAGAAAATGTTGCATACCTTTACATTTTCTATCGTATTTACCACTGGGAGTGCTCCGAGGAATTGTTCGGATTAATTCCAGCCACCAAATTTCACCAGTACACATCGCGACAAAACTTACTCACGACACGACACGACGACTACGACAAAATCCACTTCATTTGGATGCTTGGCGGTCCACTACCTTGCGATTTATTAGGAGTTCTTAGGAATCGTTTACCATCGGCGATTTTTATGGATCGATACGACTTAGGGACCTTCAAGAAACGAGCTTACTCCTTTTTAAAAGGCCGGCAACGCATTTGCAATTCTCCTGGTGTTGTAGAATTATATTAAAATTTTAAAAAGAAGGCTATCTTGTTGACTGGTTGTACTGATTGTACTGGCTGACATAGACGTTTCACGTTAAAACCAACGGCCGTGTCCCCGACACAGGCCTACTCGATTTCTTTATTGGTATGGATACAGTATCGTTAACTGTTTCACCTCCTTAAACATTGTAGATGATTAAATCTGCATTCTGTATAATGTTTTTATCGATAGCACCAATCGATAAACGTTGTCAATCACTAACTCATTTGTTAACAGTATCTAGATAACAGAGGACGCTTATTACAATGATGATAAATGTTCTAAAACAATCTACCAGAAATAATAAAATTTAAAAATTATTGGGTAAATATACATTATATTTGCGATAATAAACCGAAATCACATTCAGTTTTTGCTACATATCGGGATTTACAATACCTTAATGCACAATCTGGCATATTTTCTTTAAAAATATTGTTTAAATTTAGGAAACGAATGCGTCTTGAGCTTTTGACGATGTGAGTAAGACTAAATGACACAAATCCGAAGTATATCCTAGAACATAAGTAAGACATGACCATTTTCTTGCTGATGTCCGGTCCATTACTACTATTTAAATGTCTTTGCTTAGAATACTTACGCGTTTTATATGATTTTTGAATTTTTTAGCCACATTAAGGCGTGGCTGGGTACAGCTAGTAAGTAAATTACATGTAGAATAGAATAGAATAGAATAGAATGGAATAGAATGATTTTTATTCAATATGGATTATTACATAATACTTATTGAAAGTCATTATTTTATTTACCACTGGTTCGGAAAATACCTCTGTCCTGGGAAGAACCAGCAAGAAACCCAACGGGACTTTTTTTTTAAACATAATTTCACTTAACAATAATTTTGTTTATACAATTTTAAATGAATTTTCATAGAACCAGCATGGTGGCGATCACCTTATTCCCAGGGGTTATTTTCATTCATGTATTCCTTGATATTATAATAACCCTTTTTGTACAGTTTTTCTTTAATAAAACTTTTAAACTTGTTTATTGACAAACTTTGAACATGTGCTGGGCTTCTGTTGTAAAAGCGTATACATTGCCCCATAAATGAATTACTAATTCTGTGAAGTCTTGTAAGTGGCATTACAAGCTTATGTTTGTTCCTAGTGTTTAAGGTATGAACATCCTTATTCTTATTAAAGCTATTTATGTTTTTATGTACATACATTACATTTTCATAAATATATTGCGATGCCAAAGTTAATATGTTTATTTCTTTAAATTTTTCTCTAAGGGACTCTTTACAATTTAGATTATAAATCGCCCGTACGGCTCTCTTTTGCAAAACAAATATAGCTTCAATATCAGTCGCATTACCCCATAGCAAAATTCCATAAGACATTACGCTATGAAAGTAACTAAAATACACTAACCTAGCTGTCTCAACATCTGTGAGACTTCTAATCTTTCTTACAGCATATGCTGCAGAACTAAGTCTGCTTGCTAATTTAGATATATGGGGGCCCCATTGAAGTTTCGCGTCAATAGTAATACCGAGAAAAACAGTGGTATCCACAAGACTCAACTCCTCCCCATTTAAGAGCACATTGGTTTTCGAATGTTTTACATTAGGTATTGTAAATTTAATACATTTTGTCTTATTGCCGTTTAAGAGCAAATTGTTGGCGTTAAACCAATGTACTAGTTTCGATAGAGCATTATTTACATCGTCATATTTAATTGACTGCCGTTTCAGTTTGAAAATTAAAGAGGTATCGTCAGCAAATAATACTATATCGTGATTGTCCCCTACAAGATAAGGTAAGTCATTAATATAGATTAAGAACAGGAATGGGCCAAGAATCGAGCCCTGAGGAACGCCCATTGATACTACTGATCCGGAGGAACATTTACCATTAATGACGACTTTTTGAGTTCTGTTACTTAAATATGAAGTAATAAGTTTAAGCGCCAAATTTTTTACACCGTAATGTTGTAGTTTCCTGATTAATGTATCATGATGAACACAATCGAAAGCCTTGGAAAGGTCACAGAAAATACCTAAGGCATCTTGTGAATTCTCCCAGGCATTAAAATATATTTCATAAGCTCAACACCGGCGTCAGACGTCGAGCGACCCCTTGTAAAACCAAATTGATTTTTATGAAGTAATTTATTTGTATTAAAAAAAATTAACAATTGATCCAAAATTATTTTTTCAAAAATTTTACTGAGAGTTGGTAGTACAGAAATAGGTCTATAATTAGCGGGGTCCAATGTACTACCAGATTTAAATAAAGGTATTACTTTACTATACTTCATTAAATCAGGAAACACACCAGAATCGATACAAGTATTAAAAATAATAGCAAGATGAGGTGCAATTAAATCTATTATGGACACAATCACTGTAACGGAAATCCCCCACAAATCTGCGGTTTTCTTTACATCAATGGTTTTGAAGTATTTTACAATATTATGCGGTAATACTTTTTCAAATCTAAATTCTTTTTAACAGGTATTAACGTTCTGTTTAAGTAATGATTCGGCGACAGTTGGAGAAGCATTCAATGACTCTGTTATCAAGATAGGAACATCAGTGAAATATTTCTCAAACACCGCTGCAACTTCTTGATTTGATTTAGTCAATTCATTATTAATTTTTAATTGATAGTTTGAATTACGAGGTTTCTCTTTATGTGGTAGAACCACTCTACATCCATCTTATAGTTGTACTCGTAGCATGAATGGGTCGGTTCGCCCGGAAAGGTCTATATTATCACACAATATCAGTGTAAAATAGCACCTTAGTAAAACTGACATTCATATGGTGAGTGTAGAGAACCACTTAGAGGACCCTTTTCATTGAAAATGAGTGATGAGTGACAATGTATCTTCGTTTTTTATTGTTATTTATTTTTCAGTATTAGCATAAAGAGTGTAAAATAATTTGCAACTTTTTGAAATGATCTAGTATTTGTTACACCTTCTTATAATCATGTTTATTTTAAGTGAGAATATATGATTTATTTTTAGGTTGTAATAACTTTTTGTCAATTTATATGTGTCAGCGTGTACGAGAGCGGGGGCGACGGCGGGGGCGGCGGCGGCGGCGGGGGCGGCGGCGGGCTGGCGTGCGGCGAGCTGCAGGTGCCGGGCGGCTCGCTGCCCGACCTCACGTCCGTGCACTACCCGCCGCACTCGCCGCACTCGCCGCACTACGTGCACCGCGCCTCGCCCGACTACCACCAGCCCAGATATGTACGCACAACCTTCAATATTTATTTTATTACGTATTAGAGCCATGCAGCAGCTATTCTATGGTTGTAGCACGAATGGATCGGCTCGACCTGACAAGGACCACGTTCTCACAGAATACCAGCGTAAAATAGAAGCTCAAAGCTGCTGTGTTTCGTATGGCGCATTTTATACGTGGTAGTTTTTTTCTTGTTACTTTTTCACCATTCGCTTATATTACCTATTCTGAACCACCTCTGCAAATTTGACTGGTTTAGCCCTGTATATTACTTCATTTTTTTATAGAATATGGATGACAAACGAGCACACAGTCCCTCTGATGGTAAGTGGATGCTGTGACCCATAGATATCTACATTTATCCTCAATTAAGAATCAAAATGCAGATGCGTTGTCACCTCTGAGGACTGAGATGGAATGCCTCGTTTCCAATAAAAAGTGTCTCCGGTTCTCTACACTTATTACGAAACACAGCAGTATTAAGCTGCTATTTTACGCTGGTATTCTGTGAGAGCGTGGTCCTTCTCAGGTCGAGCCGATCCATTCGTGTTACAACCGTTATACAGCCGCAGCATGGCTCTATCACTTGTTCAATAGTAGAAACTTGTATTTAAATTTGTACGTGGGCAGAGCCCGACGTCGCCGGGCGCGGTGTCCCCGGGCGGCGGCAGCGTGTCCCCGGCGACGGGCGGGCTGTCCCCGGCGTCCGGGTCGCCGGTGGGCGCCACGGTGCCGCTCGCGCTGCAGCCGCCGCACGCGCCGCCCGCGCTGCAGCCGCTGCACTCGCACGACGCGCCGCTCTACGACGCGCAGGTCAGCGCCGTACACACACTCGCACAACGACACTACCGCTATCGCAGCCAATTGGTGACTTGACGACACAAATTTACTTGCATAGGAGGATGCAATTCAGAAAACTGATGATAATAAAATCGTTGCAGCAACATATTTATCATCTACATCCAAAATTAAATTACATCACTAGACAGAAGGGTCAAAGAATTCAATACGTTGAGTTAGGTCTATGTCGTCACATAATTTATTCCGTTACGCCCCCGTATTCACGTTAAACACACGACCGTGTCCACTATACAGCCTCAACCCGGTTTTTTATCGTTCGGGTATTTGATTTGCAGTGTACCGTTTTGGCGTAGACTGAAGGTTGTGATGATTTTACATGAAAAATAGTAAGCTTATAAATATGGCTTTATTCTACAATTATATCGACGAAAATGTGTATGAATAACATAAAACATAACATAGCATAAACACTCACGCCTGTCACCCAGGGGGGTAGGCAGACACTGGTCTTCCATTTGGCACGATCCTGACACACCTCTCTCGCCTCCTCCACATCCATATATCCACGCATACACGCTCGTCGGTTAAGGGTACTCTTAATCTGGCCCATTTTCAATATATCGCCAATTTGGTCAATAAATCTTCCCTGCCCGACTCTGCCGTTCACTTCTGTAGCATAAATTTGCTTTGTCACTTTCCTCACTCATTCTTTCTACGTGACCAAACCACCGAAGCATTCCTTTCTTAATCCTGGTCACAACATTATCTTGCAAACCACATTCCTCTTATCACACAATTTCTCACCCTGTCGTTCAGATTTAGCCTTAACATACTCCTTAATGACCGCATTTGTGAAGCATTTATTATATTCTCGTGCTTCTTCTTCCACACCCAACTTTCACTATCATACATTAAAGTAGGGACTAACACAGCGTTGTGAATTGCCATACGTGCCTTTTTGGACACACTCTGACTTTTCACAATAGAGTGTAGAGCCCCATTTACTCTATTTTCTGCGTTCACTCGTCGTTCTATATCCTTATCATATCTAACATCCCTGTTAAACACACATCCCAAATACACAAACTCATCCAATTGTTCGACCAACTTCTATTCTTATTTCACATATCGTTTTTCTTTCATCTCTTTTAAAAACCATAACTTTCGTCTTACTTGCGTTCACGAGGCCAATATGATGAATAAATCACAATATCCACCTTATCATTATCTCAATCAATAAAATATAATACAATCAATGTGAATGAATATTTTTGCATGTAGGTTATATCGGCTGTTTTTTTACGCGCCAAACGTCAGGGCATGTAAACAACGATATCTTTATTTTGAATGCCAGCTATATATAAAACGTATCGAATCGTTACGAATTAAGCTAATTAATTCTAAATGAATTATTACAATTCTACTTTTATGGATTTATATCAATCTTATTACAAAATTGAGTGACATAATTTTTGCCGGTTTATTGTACATAAAAGGTAAGAAATTTTATCATTACATAAAAAAAGTATTTGTTTTATTTTCATAATAATACAACATTCTATCAAAAGATAATAAAAAATCACACCTAATTTTTTCACACTACAAACTTTAAAATCTACCTCCTTTTACGCAGCAAAAAAAAACCAGGTTAAACAATCGAAATTTGTATGCAGTGAAGTTCGGTTATGACGCCACATTACGGTATTTTCTTTAATCTATGTTGTTCAAAGATTAAAATCACGTTTACTTTTTAATTTAATAGTGAATCGTTATTACTTGCCAAATGACCAAATATGGTCGCCTGACGCACGGGAATGTTTTAGGTATTGACCATATATGGTTGACGCTACACACTAAAAGGAGGATGAATACAACAATAAGCAACACAAGAAACAATAATAAAAGCAAAAAATATATGGAAAAACTATAAATGATCTAAATACAAAATAATAAACAAAATATAAAATTAGCGTTGTGCGTGTTTCATGACCGACCAAATATGTATCAACTATCAACAGGTCTATTCGCTAACTGTTGACATCAAAATGATAGTCACTACTAGTTCTTTGTCTTCACATCACTATTCGTGTTGGCATATGCGCCTGGATCAAAAATGGCAATGTGTAAAGGAGCTATTATAGTCTTTATTTGTTGTATTGCGTTTATAATCAGAAATAATAAATAGCGGACATGAGTTCCACTTGTCTTTCACTCGTTTTCGACATACATTAAAAATTTAATAAAGGAGATATATTTAATTTTTGTACGGGTTTCCGGTCATTCAGTTTATACACTGGGAAACCTGAGAATTGAACCCATAGTGCTTTGGATAGGGGGTTGACAACCGCAGTTTTTGTATTATTATTGAGACATAAGGAAAATGCTGCTTCTCATCTCTTGTTTCAGAAGAATTCATAGATATATATTTTATGTCGACACCGTAGCAGTGGCTTGTTTGTAACTAGTTGAAAGTAATTTCTGTAATTTATTTAATTATGTATTTATATTTTATTATTATTCCATGTGTATCTGATATGATTTCCGAACGCATGCAAATCATTTTGCTTTAAACCAAAACTCCATAAGTTAATAAAAAAATAGTGCACATAATTTATCTTAGATTTGAATTGACGAAATAATATTTTTTTCAAATTCATGACATTTTTTCCTGTATTTTGTGTAATGGTTCATTTCATAGCTAAAATTAAACATTTCCTTTTTTCTGCAGTGTTCTAATTTTCCTAAAATATACCGGCTATGTAGAGTGGACATGTGAAGGGCTGTAATTATAATGATCATACCGGCTAAACAATATGCAAACACGAAACGCGATAAGAAGTGCCAGCATTAAAAGCATTGTCGAGACGATTACACTATTTCAAACTGAACGGCCAAATTACGCCGAAGACCGAGCAAAACTGAAAGTTAAATACTGGCTCATGTTCTTGCAATTCTATATAATTTAATATTATATATCTAACTCAAAACTCATTCTGTTCATATAAAATATTGACACAGTATGATTTTATGATTAACATTAAAAAAGTCCACTTCTAGCGTGCGCCCCTTCGTTATAGGCTGCATTTGTCACACTGCAATCGGATTGACGATCGTAGTACCAAACGTCTCGCACCTTTGATCCTGCTTCCAGTCGTCGTTTTAGCTATTTTACGTCTAGAATAAAGGACATGATAATACCGTTATCTACCGTTACCGATACAGCCTGTTAAAGTGCACTGCTGAACAATTCCTCCCCCATAGATTGCCTCATTAGGGGCATACTTGTCATAGTTGCCAGGCTTGGCAAGCGGGTTGGCAACCGCAGGTTTTTTAATTTTAGTTGTTATTAAGAAGACGCTGTTGCTCATCTCCCGATTTGAATATTCTTACACCGCCACTACACGGTATCTACAGGAACTATTTATTTGACAATTTCCATAGTTGGCCATGGGACAAAATGGAATATGTGGATTTTCTTATGCGGTCACCACATGGTGCTTACTTAAGATATCAGGTTGGTTAGTTTTGAGAGAAGAGAATATAACCGATGCATATTGTTAGGTTCGCTGCGGCAATGTGCTTCGCCCTAACAATAATACCGCCGAATCGGATTGATATGCGGTATTTTTTGGCCCCATGTTACCTCTGTTCATGTTTACAATATCAATCTACAAAACCCTGTTGATATAAGTCAACTTATATGTGGCTGTGTCGAAAATGTAATGCTATGTAAATGTATTGCTAACTATGAATGCGCAAGCAAACCGAGCGATAACGATTTCTTAAATTTATATAATACTAGCTCGCCATGCAGACGTTGTTCTGCCGTCTCCGACGACCTTTTGTCCTATAAAAAAATCCTTAAATTCGTAATATTGAGGGTCATTTATCGGGATAAAATCTATCCTATTTCTCAAGGTGGACCAAACTGAACGCAGTGTGCAAAATTTTATTGAAATCAGTTCAGTAGTTTAGAAGTCCATCGCGGACAAACAACGTGACACGTAATTTTTATATATAAAGATTTACTCATGGAACTATTTTTCTTTTTTACGGAACTTATCGCGTTGCCCCTATAAGCATGGGTGCTTCATCCGTAAAAATTTCATTTAAATCGAGCGATATTTTTGTCGAATATTAATCAATATCTTTCTTAGTTTTTAACTATTTATTTGGAGATTGTCAGTTCTTTTATTTTTGTATTTTTTACCCGATATCAACGAAAATAAGAATAATATAGATGCAAGAATATTATAAATTTTAATGTTTTTGTGAATATGAATAATTTATACATTTAACCACAAATTTGTAATAACATAAAAAAATAAAACAGTTTTATAATAATTTTGTGATGGTCTAATAGAGTAATTAATTAAGGCTGGCTAATAAAGATAACAAAAAAGTACAAAATAAATTGCAATTCAGAAAATATTTATATAATTAAAGACTTAAAACATGAATACCTAGTGATTCACTCTTTTAATTTTTTTCGTTGTTTTTATTTACTTTCTACACAAATCATTTTTTTGTTTATTTCAGAATCACTTATCTGTACCAAACACAAATAATTACCTTCATCATAATAAGGTTCGTTTCCTTTTATAACTTCTTTTTATTAAAAAATGTTACCAAATCATTCACTTATGCAAGTGTCTGCTTAAGGGCTTGCAATGCTATCTGTTTGGTGCCATTTCTTTGAATCCCTCAAATGCAACAATTTGCCTTGAGGTTAACATTTCCTTCAATTCATTGCAATTGTATATTTTAACATATTAGCTTTATCAAAGCTTACATTTTCTCTTTTAATTTTTGTCTCATCATGCATGTGTTTTTTATTTTTTATTTTAACATTGAGATCCCAAGATAATATGATGCCTTTTCATTTAAATTATGTTATAATATTATAAATGTCGCTGATTTGGCTCCGCTCAAACAGTGCTATTTTAAAATAGCTACGTACCAAAAGCTTCTCTTCATTTTACCCGGGCTCCGATTCATAATCTTTACACTCAAAATGCATGGTTAAGAAATCATTTTTAAACTTTCATAAACACGAAATAATATGCTTTATTTCGTGTTAGCTCGCTTATCTTAATTAAAAAATGTTTCGATTCATCTTTTAATAGTTTTTTGTTTCAATAAATGTACCTGTAATACTAAAGAAATAATATTTTAAAAGAATAATATATGCACGCTAGCTTACAGTTCACCTGATAGTAAGTGGCTACTGCACTACACGGACACCTGAAACATACTTCAAACTAAGCATTGCCACCTATAAGAACTAAGATGGTTTGCATTACAGCCTGTTATTACACTGGCCTTCTATAAACTAGGCCAGAGCACACCAGCACACCAGTACATGCATGTCGTATTATTGAAAATGTGTGCTATATGAATATAATCTTCTGCTTTTCTATTGTGGCATATTCTGAAAATTTTTAAAGCGCGTTGGAGACAGTATCGATTCCATTTTGAAGGGCACTATTCACTTACTTATAAGTAAGATATTTGCTCTATTATATCCATCTTCGCTATGATGCAGCGATATATTGTAATACTCAAAATTTATTATATTTATGTCTCACTCGTAATCCCTAGTATATTTCTACTTTTCTTGATTTCCACATTATAATTTTTCAACCAGTTCTATCAGGTTTTCCTTTAAATAATTTTAAAAAAACAACTGTCTTATTTAGCATGAAGTTTCATTAGCTTCTAGCCTCATTAATAATAACCGTATTGCAATTTAATTTCTCATAAAATAGATTTTAAAGATTTATTTATTTTAATGTTTATTTTAATAAATCTTTAAAATCATAAAACCAATTTTTTTTTAAATTTATAGAATTTTTAGAAGTTTTTAATGATATAGAAAATAATAGCCTTAATTATGGAATAATAAAGTTATTTTATATAAAGCATTTTTGAAAACACATCTATTTTGTGAGAATTAATCGGTATATAATTTATAAAAACACATGAGAAATAATACTAACACAATCTTTAAAATCACCAATTTATGTGAGTTCTAACCGCATGTTTTTGCTTGGACTGGGCGATTTTTATTTTTCGTTTGTGAAATTTATATAAAATAACACTAAATTTTTAAAAAAAATACTTATTAAGACACCTTATAGTTTATGTTTATCCATTTTCTGACAGTTCTTTCCAAACGAAAAAGTCCAGGCTTAAATAAAAATGAGATTGTCACTATACTGGGTAATGCTTGCTAAATGATACCTTTTATACTATTTTCATCTTTATAACGTTGATAATAAGGTGGTTGTTTTTAATATACTGATTATTCTCAATCTGACCATTTGCAGAACATGTCGCCGTTAGATCACAATTGGATAACGTCAAGTTATCAGTCAAACTGTAGTCCGCCCTCGCAATATTCTTCCACGTCAAACATAAATATACCTTCACCCACAGTGAGTATTGTTCTGTTGTTTTTTTAAGGCATATTCTTTTTTTGGAACAAAGTTCCTTATCGGACCCGTACCGGGTTTGGCGGATGGGAGCCAGGTGACAAAAAGTGTAAGATTTTTTCGTCACTACCCCTTGTGTCATAGTGTATTTTATTTTAAACGACGCTTCATTTTAATAGACGCTAGTAATACATTAATCAATAATATAATACGTTTATCAATAATAAGGAACTTCGTTCCAACCGAGTGTTCCACGACACTCACGCATGTTTTTTTTTTCTCTATCTTTTTAATTGATATTCAGGGCTCTAGCCACATGTAAAAAAGCTAGAAAACTGAAATTCTGATGGTGTAAAGAAGCGACAAAACGCACAATAGAAAACGCCATGATCTTATTTTTATTTCCATCAAACAGCAGTGCACTGCTATGTTCCGTTCTGAAAGGTATAGAAATCCACTATAATTACAGATTTTGAGGCATTCTATCTTAGTCCTCCGATGTGGCTACGCATCTAATGCCTTTTTATTAGTTTTAAGTTGGTAGCTGGTGTTTAGTGCTGTAGTATCCACTTATCCTTAAATAGACTGAACAGTACAGTAGTAATAGTTTGTTGGTCGCTTCAATTTTATATAAAACATTATGTCTGTAAAAAGCATCCATATCAATTTATAACAAAATATATATATATATATATATATATATATATATATATATATATATATATATAAAAAGAATTAAAGAATACATCACAAAATAACGTCATATAGTGAATATAATGTTTCTAAATGTGAAGGTTATTAATATTCTTATAATTTAATATTCATGGCATACATGGAAAAAGAAAATCAATAAAATAAAGTTTCGTAAATGAGGATATCCGCAACAGAATAGAGTGACCGACATAGCCAAACGGTTCTCGAGTGGCAGCCTCGTACCGGTAGGCGAAGTGTAGGGCGACTCCCCCACTAGATGGAGTGATGACCTGGTATGACATGCAGGAAGTCGATGGATGCATGTGGCTCAGGACCGTGCTTTGTGGCATTCCTTGGGGGAGACCTATGTTCAGCAGTGGACTTGTGAAGGGCTGTAATGATGGTGATGATGAAGTGTATGCTTCAATATCGTAGCGTAGTAAACAAATTCATCACGCTATCTTATCCCGTGGGTATTATTAATGCTAAAGTTATTTTAAAGTTAATACATAACGGTATAACTATTATGTATATGTCACATTTTTTATACTTAGACAAGTAGGTAGTAAGCTGAAGTGGGCCGGCCATAAGGCTCGAAGAATTTACAAACGATGGAAAAAAGTTCTGGACTGGCAGATTCGTGCCGTTATGTGGTGTGTACCACCCACATAACGGCACGGAGTGGGTCACCCATTAGATATAGTGACAATCTTGTGAAGATGCAGGAAGCCGATTAATGCAGGTGGCTCAGGGCAGTGCTTTTTTTTTCTTTTCTTAATAAAAACGTTACCCCCACACTAGGATTTTCTCCTGTGTCGTGGAGGCAGTTTACAAACATAAATTGCACAAGGACAAACATTCAGACCCGGAACAATTATTTGTAGGCCATACAAATACTTGTTCCGTGCGAGATTTGAACCCGCGGCCCCCAGCGCAACAACTGATTGCTAAGCCACTGCGCCACGGAGCCGTCAAAACCGCTTTGTGCGTTCCTTGAGAGTTCTATATTCAGCAGTGGACTTGTGATTGGCTGAAATTATCTTGATGATGATGAAATATCCACTTTCGAAGGGAACCTACGTCAATAGTGCGTGACGTTCGGTAGTGCGATCGCTATTACCATACCTCTCGTTTTTACGGCATTTTACGGCAAATCTCTATTATTAAGTAGAATCCTATGTCTAACATGTCTGCCTTAAGGCATTAAGTCCGCCCTATGTACGATTTTTCTTTTGTGCATAAAAGTTTAAATAAATTTAAAAAAAAATAGTTCTGGACCAATGTGAATGAAAGTTCAATAATGACTGGTTTAAAGGCTCTATAATGCAATAAGCAAAAATAGCTTCCGTTCTTGTTTTTGCAGTTAATTTGACTATTTTAACTAGATGGTGCACAGTCCAGGCAGTCCTGTAGAGTCGCCGCAGACCGACTACAACAATCTGCATCAAGCACTCCTACAACCCTTTGAGCAAATTACAATGGTATGTATTAAGTTAAAATTTTTGTAAATCTTTATATTATATTTCTTCTATTCGTGTGTGACTGACTCCTAAACGGCTGGACCGATTTTGATGAACTTTTGTGTGTGTGATTAAGTTGGTTCGAGAATGGTTTAGATTCACAATTGGACTCGGTAGGTGGCGCTGTTTTCGAGATCCAGAAATCTCCTGTGCGAAGTCTGAGCTGATCGCTAGTAACGCTATATAATTATTGTGTTCATATACAAATGCTAACCTTAGCTTCTTAAAAGATAGACAAGTATCATAATAAAATTTTCTACCTATTTAAATGATAAAAAAAAATAGAAATATCTTAACAAATATCTATCTGCCATAATATTTCACTTAGCCAGGTGTTGACTGGGAGGGAATGCCAAATGCTGAATAGCATTGAGTCCGGTCTTTGTAACTCTTAAAGCCATGTTGGCCAAGTTAGAAGGAGTGAACATACTGACATGGCCGAGTAACATGTGGACACGACTTGCCGAGTGCAGGCTAGCGCCTCGGATTTGTGCCGAAAAACCGACACTATTCCGAAGTGAAATGAGTCTTGGCGAGCGATCCCAAGTGGTAGCAAGGCACACCAAACGAAACATATAGAAGTTGGCGCTCGCCTACACTCGGCCAGCTAGGCGAGCGACGACGAGCAATGGCGAGGCTAGACAAATGGGCTGTGTGTGAATGTTTAAAACGATCGTAGATGATACTCCAATCATTTCAACGGCCTGCTTTTTCAGCCGAGCATCTTCTATAACGATATGTAGCGTTTTTATTTGCTTAGTGAGGAACTTAAACACGGCAAGAAACTCATTTTTCTCCATAGTTAGTGTTCACTCTCCGATTGACTTGTTTATCCTGTCATATCTCAAAGGTTAATGAACCGATCTGACTGAAACTTGGTATTTATAGTTGTGTCAAGTCACCAAGTTGTGACCCCTCCATTTCGCGAAATTTTTGACCCGCCGTCGTAAATAAGCTGTAATGTTCTCAATTAAAAAAAATATGACGTTCAGTTGAACTTTCAATTGTTTTTACATTCAGTAGGGTGAGTGGGGGGAAGATCGAACGGTTTTTTGATGATATGAGCAGTGTTGTGTTTGACGTCTTGTAAAACAGTACATATTAACATAAGCTAAAATTATATCTATAGTGAATAGAGTACAAAGAACATATTTTTATGTCATATCGATAAATCCCTCTTATATTTATACGAAAGCAAAAAAAAATTACAATGTTTTCATCGAAAGAAAAAAACAGGGGGAAGGATGAAAGGGTGGTGGGGAAAGATCGAAGTAGTTTCTAAAATCGTTTAAATTAATGTCAGACGATATTGACTGTCAATAGGCTACAATTTTTATTGTCCTGACACTTCAGAACTGTCTATAACATCAAAATATCTTCAAATAACACAGATAACATAACTTATTTGTTTCTTATATTTCAATCTTGACCCGCCGGGGAAATATTGAACTAGAGGTTCTCAAACTTTTCACTTTATTTGGATAAGATTATACAGAAAATGAAAGATATCAATCATATAAATTATTTTTTATTTTTAATGCCAAGATAATTTTAAACACAATTACGTACATGTATCTTTTACCATTTTCGTCAACAAAATATGTAGCACAAAACGTAAAAAATTAAATATTTCAAAATTAAACAGCTAACCAATTAATAAGATCTTAGAGAAATACCACAACTAAAAACATAGAAAAACTTAAAAAAAATTATATCTAAACATTAATAAAAAAAAATGGTAGTAGATCCACGTCTACAGTTCACTGTAACACATAAATGAGCAGGGTCGACCGGTGCGATATTACCCTCTCACAGAAAATCAGCGTGACGTGGTTAGCTTCGTAGTGGCTGCCATGTTTCGTTTGGTGAGTGAGAGTTCCGGATGCCCGTTCCTTTTCCCCTTTTCTTAAGGCCACCCGAATGTTGACGTTTGCTAGATAAACCGATGTGACTTTGCATTGTTTTAGGAGCTGTGATGTTGCATTTACTAACGAGTGTCTGGTGGTCTTTCCGCTTTCTTTAAGTTCCTACTCCTATTCCTACGAATCTTGTTCCTATACATTACGAGAAGGCAACGCACAAGTAACACTCCTGTTGTTTCTTGTGTCTATGGGCAGCGGTGAAATCACTTAGCCATCAGGTGACCCGCTTGCTCCTCTTGCCTCTCTTATAATATACAAAAATTAAAATAAATACCTTTAGATAATATTAGCTGAAATTGTGCCGCTGACAATTTATATAATGGCTGTAACAAAACAAAACATTTTTTCAGGTACAGTTTGAGAACATGAGACCATTTGTATGACTTTTGAAAACGGGGCAAGATGGAAACTTTTATATGTTTATCTTACCCCGTCAAATTTTGGCGGGTAAAGACAGAATGTTACAATAAATCCTAAAATCCAAAAAGTAGCGATATTTAGACATAGCAACATAACTACCAATTAAAAATAATAAGTACGTATAAAAAACTCGTACCTACCTCGTAAATCATGTTACACGACACGGGGTAAGATTAAAACACCCGACTTGCTCGCTTAAAATTCACAGCGTAGATATTCCCTTATAATACACAACCGATCCCTCAAAACGACAAATGCCGACTTAGGTGTGGTACGTAACAAAATGGCGGTCTTATGAATGTTGATGCCTTTTTATCTTACCCCGTTTTTCATTTTACCCCCACTCACCCTATTTATGTTAGACATCAGCATCACCATTTACTTGAAAACTTTAGGTAATATTTGAATACTTCTCCCGAATTGGTTCCAAAGCAGCAGAGATAGGCGTTACCGTTGCTTTCACGCAATGATGCAACCAGTTACATTTCTTTTAAGAAACCTGTTGCGACAATAGGTTTCTTCTGCAACAGGTTTCTAATAACCACGTAAGAAGATGTATGAAAATGGGTGCTTGACATCGTTCGTAACAGTTATACAAAAATATATAGGTAATAAAACGATAAATCATAGCATAAATAAATGATTTTTATTTCTGTAATGCTTGGGACAATCATAATTTTTTTTTTAATTGAAATAGAAAGCTAACGCTTTTGCTTTAGCAAAACGAAACGTTTTTAAATATCTTTCTGTATTTTGTCTATTGCAATAGATAACGAAGACTATTTTTATAATAAAATAGCCTTCCTTACCAAAAAAGTCATAATACTGAAACATTGACGCGAATCTGTAGTAATTAATAATGAATAAAATAATATATTTAGAAAACGATTGAAAAGGCTATGCCCTTAAACTAAAAAAAAGCATTTGAATATTATCCTACACGACTGAATAGGCTGTATGGTCATTGATCATTGCATATTCCGAAGGAGACTTCTTGGTAATGGTAACTTCGACTTGTCATGCGGCATGCTCATATGGTACATATTGTAGATGTTTTTTTTTTGGATAGATTTCGTGGATTTAATTAACTTGATCCTTGGATTTTCTCTCGGATCATAGAATAGTAGTTTGTTGCGCCCACATAATGAAAATAATGTGTTACTTAACTTAAGTTTTGAGAGGAATAGAGCAGACAATGTACAGCCTCCGGCTGCTTTTTTAGATGACATTTTATTGATAATTGCAGAAAATAGTTTAAGTAATAAAAAGGTTGAGTTTCATATTAATAATAACTACAAAACTGCATACTTTCGTGTTGTTGTTTTTTTTTTCAATTTATTCAACAAATTATCACAAGAACTAGTTTTTTTTACTACATAACCTACAAATCATCAAACATAAAATAAAAACAAAACCCCAGGTCCTGCAAAAATATGTTTTTTTTTTAAATATAAGTAGCAAATGTTTAAATCTTCAAACTAAGACATATTTTAAGTTTGTTCACGCTGGGCTTGCTTGTATGGAATCAATTTCATCTCCTTTAAGAACTAGGTATTCGTTTTTTAAGAACTATTAGTTATTGTTTTGTAGCCGTGACTAGGTAGCTAACTATTTCGTTATGAAACTAAAGCAATGAAAAATTATAATTTATTGGTGAACAATAATAATAAAATAAACAATTATTAACAGTATGATGTACCTTAATTTTTAATTTTGTTTTTGGCTTAAACCATTTGTAGTGCAAATTTTGACTTGAAGAACGAACCACGGGGAAGACCTCACATTAAGGGGAAATATCAATGAATTAAAAGTAATGGTAAAAGCCGATCCTTATTAAACAACCAAGGAATTAGCACGGCATTAAAAGAAAATTCATTGACTAAGTAGTGGGGATCGGAATATCAGTAAAATATTTCTCAAAAACCATTGCAACATCCTGATCTAATTTAGTTTGTTGCTAAAACTTAACTGGTAATTTGAATTGCGAGACTTGACCTTACTAGTTTCACTATTAATTATACTACATGTCATTTTAATTTTATTAGAAGCTGTCTTAATTTTATTGCTTTTAAATATTTTTGAATATTTTTTTTTACATTTTTCCCCAAATTCGATGCTAGGATTATAATATAACCTTTCATTTCATGGTAAGCTTTAATTCCACTTCTGATGTTAGAAATTATTCGCAAAATTATTTAAATTAAAGAACACTACTCGGTGACAAACCCTCCTTACAATCAGAAACTGTTAAACACTTACATGATAACACCAAAGTATGCAAACAAACAGCAACACTACCCATCTCAATGTAACACAGGGCAGCCTCTCAGCAACACAATCTATCTTGCCTACACTAGTAGAAAACGCCAACGGGCCTATTAAAGACACTGAGACTCGTAGAATTACCGATTGATTTCTCTTAGTCGCCTGTGCAATACTTTATACTGCTAGAACGAAAAAATTACATTTCTAATCTCATTTCTTCGTATTTTCTTTTATTTTTTACCCTTATTCCTAAAAACAGTATATTTCCTTAAATATTAAGGTAAATGCAACCGAATGTTTGTTCTGGTCTATCCAAGTTATAAAGTTAGCTTAAAAATAATTTCATAGCTATACACAGGTACACTTCAAAGTTCAAATCCACTTTTGTACGTTAAATCAATTTGATCCGTAGGACTAAAATTTTGCAGCATATGCCACAAATTGTATTAATTTCGTGTCTTTTGCTAATTAATTATATTTTAACTAAGTTTATAATATTTCTATGCTTCAATGGAATAGCAAGGAGTTGTAAGTAATCAATATATACAACATAGATGTTTATCAGAAATGCTTTACAATTAAATATATGTAATATATTTAGTAAATGTGGGTATTAAATATAATTCCATTAAACCTGGAATAAGTAGAGCACTATGAAGAAAGTTAAATGCAGCACTTTGATAATTAAGCACACCATAGACATACATAGAGAGCACAATCAAAACGAGTCTACCCTCATTAATGAATAATTTTAAAACAATTTATGAAATTCTTTAATAAATGTAATTACAATATTCATCTTTTTTAATTTTAATTAGTTTTATTAAACATGTTAAGATATTTATAACAAAAAGAACTAATAATTTTTGTACCTTATTGTTTATTATACGTTTTATATGTGTTCATTTAACATTCATTCGACAAATTTTGGGGACACCATCATTGATGAAACAAAAAAAAATAATATAACGTATATATTCAAAGAGATTAAAATTTCAAAATCATTATCGACCAACGATCACATGGTTTTGTATTTTCTTAACATGATCCCGTAAGCTTCTCGAATGAATTAGAATCACCTGTATATTATTGAGTGTAAGTTATTGTATGTGCGTAAACGATGTGTAACGTTGGTGTTGAACAAGGACTGGGCGCAGCTGGTGCAGAGTCTCGTGGAGTCGGGATGGACCGCGCATGTTCAAGTCCCGGACAATGTACGACACCCACACGCCACGTACACATTCACTTCATACGTGTAGTGATTGTTATTGACGGCTCCGCATGCTACCTCCACGTCTTTGACCATGTTCAAACTTCAATGTATATATAATAACAAATCGCAAATAACCCAAAAAGAAACTTATATGAATAAAATGAATGTAAATTTTGAAACGTTTTCCATGAAGCTAGTTTTCTAATTAAATCTTGTATAAATAGCAAGTCTAAATAAGTAAGCCTATGTCCAGTACTATTATTAATATATTCGCAATAATTTCAAAATTGTCACTTTAGTAAAGAACTATTGTAAAATAAAACTAAGAGGTATATTGCTATTCACTAATGACGTGAAATAAATGGTACCTTGAAATCTGTAAAATGCTCTATAATCAATACATCAGATCAATATTTCAACAACATTTGATTTTAAAATAACAATAACGAAAAAAACTACCTACTTTTTTTTTAAATCTTAAAATAAATGAAAAAAGTTTTTTTTCTAAATATTTATTATTGTTTTTGATTAATGGTCTTAAATGTAGAGGTCGCATAACACATTAGACGCACGTACATTTACGATTTTCGATACTAGTTTTTGCGCACTCTGTTGAAACACATAAACGGTTAAAATTGTTACTTCTGAAAAGAAAATGAACAGCTCGTGCTAACTTACTTTTCAACGAGTTTATTAATTAAATGAGCAAATTTCATTTTCTTTTCTGTGATGGTATTTTAGTCATCCTTACTATATAACTATAAAATTAAAAAAAAAAACAATTTTAGGGTGCCTGCATCGCCTTTCCGTCTGTTATAGAATTTTAACTTTATATAAATTTATATCTATTTTTAAGGCTTATTTTTGCTCACTTCTAGATGATTTTTTCAAGAGCATGATGTGGCATTATTTTATATTACATAAAATTAAAATCGTTTTTTTAATTCTTTATATCAGAAAATACACATTGTTGCCGATAATTTTTGGAACATTTAAAACCTTTTTTTGACAGTTCAAAAGCACTGAAGTTGCACCATAACCCTAAAACGCATGACGACTTTAGATTTTTAAAATTCTATTTTTTGAGCATGGCCCTGAAACCTCTTATTTTCCTTTTCAAATGTTTCTGTAGGTTATTTGAGATTAATTTAGGCATGTAGATACAGTTCATTGAACTATAGCATATTTATGCTGGTGACACTTGGTCATTTTTAATTATATGTACGGTAGAAAACTTCAAACTAGTAGAATGTTATCTTTCCAAATATTTATTTTTTCGTAGCATATTTTTATCTATTGAAATGATATCGCAGTAACATTTTTGGTAAAATGCAGATCGTAAACTCTTGTTATTTGCTCATTTGCTTACAATGTTTATTAATTTAATTTTTGTATACCTCGCTTCTGTTTCTACTACATAATAGTATAAATGTTAAGTCATGTGTTATTAAATCTATATCTAGCTTACTTGCTTTTTCTTTATAAACTAGATAAATTATTATTAATTTAAATTTCACAGTTGGACCCTCCCACGTCGAGTTACAACACGAACTATATAAATCATAGTTCACCTCATTCGCCTCAGACAACAAACACGCAGCACATATATTCTCAGGTAAATATTTTTCCTTTTTTGTTTCGTATAGTGATAGGATTTTAAAACAGATCGCCTTTAGTTAAGCGTAGCGTGCGTCTTCCGGCCTTTGTACTATCTGCCTGTGTATCAATCAGTGAATCATAATTAGAAAAAATTGCAATCTGCGCAAGTTTGAGCTAAGTGGTCCCAGTGTAATACAGCTTATGTCGATTCTTTGTACACTAAATATGTTTTTATACCTGACATAAGCTTCACCTACACCTGTGCCGTTAAAAAGGTATATATTATAAGGTATATATATATATATATATATATATATATATATATATATATATATATATATATATATATATATATATTATAGAAAGCTCACATAATATTATATTGCATTTTATTATTAAATTGAGGTAATTAACATTTAATTACAACAATAGCATAAAATACACGTAGTAAAATATTTTCCTTGTTCAAACATTTTCCCCGCAAACATGTCAGTTGGAACGAACGTTTACCTAACATTTGTTTCAAAAGAAGAATTATTTGCGTATAGCATGCTGAACAGAAGAGCTAATGAACGCAGAGTTTATATCACAGCACCCCATTTCCAAATCTGTGGAAATTGAATTCGATGGCTATGAATAGGGTTATACTGCTGTGTGATGATCGTTAGAGCCACGTTTAATAGTTTCCAGGGTGCACCGCGTTCAAATGAAGTTAAAAGTTGTTACAACCTATTCCTTTTAGCAAAATAATATTGCTATTTGTTCAGCTCAACTTTTTGGACAACAAATAAAATTCAGCTTTATCGACATTGCAAACGAATGAATTTGACATAATGACAAAACCACCGGATACACTAAAAGCGCTTAAAGTATACCTTCTTTTCGTTCGTTCATCGTTCAACGTTCTTTCGTCAATTTCTGTTTGTAAGAATAGCTAACATCAGCTTTCTTTTAAAGTCGACTGTTGGACTATTAGTAGTGACACTTGACTGCTGGTTCATTTTCGAAGGAATAATTCATATAATATGTCGCTAACGATATATGTATAATATCGTACTGAGCATACATGAAGAGAATAACTACATGAAGTGTATATGTAGTGATAAACGAACTTGCAGTCCACTTGATGGTAAGTAAGCAACTACACGTGCAACCAATTTCAAACAAAGAAGACTATTGATGATGTGTCTGTCACGTCAGAGGACTAAGATGGAATGCCTTACAACCTGTAATTATACTGTAACATCTGGTAACACCTATGTCTGTTTTTTGTGTGCTTATGGTTCCTTATAGTCGCCTAGTGGTCGAAATTTGGCCATAATTCCTTAAATCTTTAAGTTTGTAGTTGTATGAATATGAATTCAACTACACATTAAAATACTCCACAGACTGTTGTAAAAGGAACATTTGAAATTATCCAAAATTAAGTGGTAATTATTTGTTGGCAACATTTTAATTCTTTGGCAACAATCTCTACTCTATGCGACTGACAGATTATTATGTGTTTGATATGGGCAGTATGAACGTTAACAATAAAGGTTTTATTTTATGTATTTGTAACCATGAAGCAAATACAAAGAGGAGACGTTGTAATTAAATTTCACTATGTAACAACGCGTGACAATTTGCGGGGTGAGGGGATGCAAAGCCCCGCCCACTACACTATCTATATCTACCGATAAATAGTAAAACTACTCGAATCTTTCCATATCGATGTTGCAATGTAGCTTAGCTACCTTGACGGTAGATGGCGGCATGTCCACAAAATGTTATAAACTATAAAAATAATATTTTGGCGATTAAAATTTCTTTATGTCTGAATGCAAAACAAATTTCAGCAACTTCGTATGATTATTTTATCATTACTGAGCTCTACGTACCTTTATATTTTTAGTTCACAGGACACAAAATGTCGCCATCTAGTGTGGAATGTATTTAATTATATTTGAAAGCCGACGCAAAGAGATTTTTCTAGAACTATTTTAATAAATTAGGTGTAAAATTACTTACAAATGAAATGTGATGCCATCCATAGCATCGGAGCGTCTATCTCATGAAGCAAATACATTCAGACAAAGAAATTTTAATTGCTAAAATAATAATTTTATAGTTTTCATAATAATTTTGGGAACAGGCCGCCATTTATCGTCAAGTAAACCTCATAAAAAATAACAAAACGACAGAGCCGCAATTAGAATTCAATTATTTTACCCAGTAACCCAACATTCAATATTAAAATGAAAGAAATTGTACTTGGCTGATTTTTACGAAATGTTTAAGTTATATTTAAAGTGACATTCTTATCATGGCCGACCGAAAGCGAAACGAAGAGATTCGCAATATGGCAGGTTTGAAAGATGACCTTATCACAAAAAAATTGAAAAGGGCGTGCTTCGGTGGTTTGAGCACGTTGAGCGAATGAGTGAAGACCGAATGGTGAAGAAAATATATAGCGCGAAAGTTAATATTAAAAGGTGTCGAGGTAGACCGAGACTAACTTTCGAAGACCATGTGAGCAAATTGCTCGAAGAGGGTAGGGTCAAGAGTACTCTGATACCTAGACGTGCATGTATGAAGAAGATAATGAATCTGAAAGAAGCGAAAGAGGTATGTAAGGATCGTGACACTTGGCAATCTGTTTTCTCTGGCTACCCCGTCAGGGATTGTGCGTGAAGATAAGTAAGTAAGTAATTAAAATATAAATATTATATTCCAAATTAGGCATCCGAATGCACTTTTTGAATGCCAATTTAAGAACATTAATTTGTATTTAAGTGATTCTTTGCATATAGAATGTCACTTAAATATAACTTAAACATTTCGTAAAAAATCAGCCTAAGTACAATTTCCTGCATTTAATATTAAAAGTTGGATTACTGGGAAAATTAATTGAATTCTAATTAGGGCCCTGTCTTTTTGTCATTTTTATGAGGTTTACTTGACGAGAATACGGCCTGTTCTCAAAATGATTATAAACTATAAAAATAATATTTTGCGATTAAAATTTCTTTGTCTGAATGCAAAACAAATTTCAGCACCTTCGTATGATTATTTTACCAATACTGAGCTCTACCGACCTTTATATTTTTAGTTCACATGACACAAAGTGTCGCCATCTAGTGTCGAATATATTTAATTATATTTGAAAGCCGACGCAAAGAAATTTTTCTAGAAGTATATTAATAAATTAGGTGTAAAAATATTTACAAATGAAATGTGATGCCATCCATAACATCAGAGCGTCTTATCTGAGTAGTTTTTACACAATAAAACACAACACTTCATCCTTTTCTTCTTAATACTACGAAAATACACCGATTTGCGATTTTTTCAACACATAAGCGCACAGGACGAATGCTGACAGTATACTAACTAAAGCCACGCCCACTATGATGACGTCAGGACCTACTTAGAATCACAGTTCACAGTTGCTTATGCCGTCTCCCCTTTGTATTAGCTTCATGTTTGTAACACATATTACAATGTAAATTTTAGCTTTCTGCACTCCTCCATTTAATCTTTAATTATGCCAAATATTACTCTGGTCCGTGCTTCACGTATTAACTGTGTTATGTTTGCGGGTGGTCTGACGCGCGGCCGAGGCAGACTTGAAACGAAGTACATATTAACATGTATACGTATGGGCGTTTTTACGTGTTTATGTATTGTTATATTTGCGGTGTGGTCAGGCGCACGTGTCGCACGGGGGGCACGGGGGGCACGTGTCGCACGGGGGGCACGGGGCGCACGGCGCGGGCGCGGGCGCGCGCGACCCGGTGGCGGGCGGCGGCTACCCCGCGCTGCAGCCGCTCGCCTCGCCCTCCGCGCCCGCCACGCCCGCCACGCCTGCCACGCCCGCCAGCATACCCGACATCATACTCACAGGTACCACGACGCACACACTTTTTATGTACCCCACTGACAAGCAGGGAAATGTTTTTTTAATACAGTTGCTCAAAAAGTGGCGTATTGCAGGGACGTATAGCGTTCGGGATGTGGGCTATTACATACTCGAGCTTTTTCTTTACCTTTTCCGAATTCGTGCGTTCTCTTTCCCAACCATCGAGTATTTAACCTGAATAGAGCGGTATTGTTATTTGTTTTGTAAGAAAACAAATTCCGCCAAAACGCTGCGCCGGTCGCTGCGCTCTGATTGGCCGATTCAAAGTCAAGTATTGCACTAGAGCTGTCCAATAAAATATTTGTTACCGTAAACCGTAAAAATCGTAATCGTAAGTTTAATATCTATCTCGCGAGTATGTAAACTGTTGAAAGATTGTGAACCCGTAACATACTGCTTACAATGTAACGCATTATTTTTCGGTAGATTGTAATAATATATCTTAAAATTGTAATAATATATGTTGAAATTAGTCAAAAGGTTGTTTTGATCGAAAGTTGTTATAAAGCCTGACCTTTTTTATGGTTTCGTACCTGAAAAGGAAAAAACGAAACCCTTATGGGTCAGGTAAGTATTATGGGACCAGTTAAGTAGGTACATAACGGATTTATATATAATTTTTTTGTTACAAATATAATTTATTTAGGACTATTAGGTAAGAGTATATGGAGGTGTAAGTACGTGTGTGTATGTTTATATGTGTGTTCGTGCTTGTGTTCGAAATAATAAATTTTTTAATGAAACTTCCATACTTAAAAAAATATAGTAATAAATGAAATAAAATTGAATTTAAGGTTATAAATGAAATTATAAAAAATTAATGAAATAAAACTATTGTATCATATGAAAAATTAAGGAAAAACTCGCAAAATGTCAATATTTTTGTTTATGTAGTTATAGGTATAATAAATTCAAGATTTAAATATTACTTTTGCGTTACTATTACTGGTTTTTAAAGTGAATTAATTTAGTATAAATTCTTCTCACTGCTTGTTTCTCGTTATATTTCTTTCTTTTGCTGAGGAATGTTAGTCTCGTATCTACATATTTTTTTATGATACTTTGAGCTAAATCAGTTATATGGTTTGTCTCTTCTGTGTAATTTTGGTGGTAGTCATATTCGGGAAATAGTTTTTCTCCTACAAAACTGCTCATTGTTTTGTGAACTAAGAAGTCACTTGTACATCGTCGTACTATGTCTACACTCTCAATGAAAAATTTTTTTATGAATTGCTCTGAACGGCGGCAAATTTTTTGCACGTTAACTGATGGATATATTAAGCCCCCCTTATCTCTGTAAAAAATTAAACTTCTCTTATTTTCTGACAAGCATACTAATGCTTGCACGCAAGTGGCGCATTTAATACGTTTAATTAGTGCGCTAGACACATACCCTGCTATGTATTCTATCACATTCTCAGAAAACTGTGAAAGCTCGACAGCTTCCATCCGAATATTAAATTCTTCTTCGTTTTCATGATCATCATCATTAACAGTCTGCTCAGTTTCGCTGTGAGTGGTCAAGTTTATTCTTGTGATTGCCGAAGAACAATTAAGAATTGATATCTTCTCTAACGGTATGCAGTTACCCGACGATGTTTGTAATAATTCTGTATGAATTAAGCATTTCTTGTAAATGGCTTCGAATAAGCGGGGTGTAGGATTGTCATTTGAACCACCATGTGATCTCATATTAGCAAAAAAGAGTTCTATGTGATCCTGTGAAATTTTGTGCATAGGTAAGTATCTTATAGGACAATTTTCATCACAAATTAAATCCTTAAATAAACCTTTAGTACTTTCGATTGCAACAAAGAAACCTAGAAATCCAGTAAACCGTGGTGATTCTATCAATTTTACTTGTTGCGTCTTCTTTCGTATTATTATTTTTGTAGTGACAGTCACCAAAAACCTTTTGCATTCCTCTAGTCTATCATAGATTCTAGTATGATTATCAAAATTCAAAGCCCGTTTGTATCCATACCCGTGAACTCTGGAATCTAAAATATCAAATAGATCGTTTATGAGTAGGATCATTCTGGATGTCGCACCAACTCCTTGAAAGTCTGTCAATTTTAACTCTACTTCGCAAAAATCTAATGCTGTAGCTACGCTGCGACTGAACAATTGTGTAGCTAATTTTACTTTCATTATATTCGTTTTAAAATAAATGTGTTCAGCGCGTAACTTATTGGCTAGGTGAAAATTCTCTTTTTCTTGGAGCTCCTGTAATAATTTTAGGTAATCCCATCGTATAGTTTTGCCGTTCTCATCTTGAAATTCTTGATATTTTTCAAAAGTATTTCTGACCAATTTGAGCATATGCACGGGATCCAAAAATACGAAAACATTAGCACTCGTCACAGGATGTTTAAAGCTCGTCTTTAGCTGCTCTTTTTGTAATTTGCATCCTAGTTGCTTTGCCATTGCCAAGTTTGCTGGACAGCCGTCGAAGGTCAATGCTTTGACAGTAATTTTGTTTTCATGGCACAGCTCAAGAGCAATATTTACCAGGTTAGCTTTTTGTTCTCCACTGGTTTTATCGACTAGAAAGTAACCAATTGGTACTTTGAAACTTCCGTTGAATGGTACTACTAAAAGCACTAGTGCTTCTGTGCATTCATTATTGCAGTCAGTTTCCAGTTGATTACCAACATCCACGTAGCCGAATGAACGTTGAGTTGATGGTTCATATTCTACCTTGCTTTTTATTTTCATCTCATCGAATACAAGGGTATACATCAACTCTTCTTTTGATGTTTCTGCCCTGGCTTTTAAGGCGTTGAAAGCCTCTTTTGTGAAACCCGGCCTACCGTCCACAGTCTGGTACCATTTTGTTAGTGTTCGCATGGAAGGTAAACAAGTATTGAAGGTATTTCTTACATATTTGTAAGCTTTTGATGAATAAAAGTTCAATATGAGAGCGAAAGTTCTCAATTCAGGCGAATATTTCTTTTTAATAATTTTTCCCTTTTTATATTTCAGATACTGACGATGAACGATTTCTTGATTAAGTACACCAATTTTTTTTTAAAATATCTGCGTCTTCGGCTTTTATGAGATTTTTCTTTTCTAATTCCTTTATAATAACTTTTAAAGATGCCACTCTTTTTTTATAGTAACGGACTTTGTCCCTTAATACCTTAATTGTTTTATTTTTATGCTTAACTTGACTTGTTAACTGCAAAACACGTCTGCAAAGACGTTTTTTGGTCGGAGAGTGAAACTTTGAAGGAGTTTCAGGTTCGGTAGCTTTTCGTTTACTTCCCCTTGGTGTAGTTGATATCGAGTCCTTTTGAGAAGACGATGATGGTATCGGACTTGCATCTTCTGGAACTAATATGTTACTCTGCAAAGAAAACAAAATTATACATATATCGAGTCTGTAAAGGCAATAGGTTTGATAATGAAGTTGAATAAAATAGATTATGTATTATATATCTTACCACTACAGGCAAATATAGTGTAGGAATTGCGGTATCAAACAAGCGGCGGCGACTTTTTGATGTATAAAAACAATCTTCTGTAAAATGTCTGGAGCAAATGACACTATAATTACTTGGAAACCAGTTTTCCCTCTTTGCACAATCTATCCATTGTTCTTTAAGATTCGGATCCTTAGGAAACCTAAAAAAAACAAATTAAAAAAAATGTGAAAAATATTACTTTTTAAAAAGACTCGCCGGCTATTTCAGTTTCTATTATGCTTAATTTACAAATTCTGTTTAAATTATAGACGTCCCTGTGTAGATTTTGTCTAAAAGTAACTTCAATTACAGTCATTTTTAACTTGGTCATTATTAGTTACCATCATTATAACTTTTAATTAAAGTAGCTGTCAGCAGCGCACCGCGGTTGAACTCGCATAGTTCCCGTTTCCGAGGGGAAAACCGGGATATAACCTGTCTGTGTGCTAAATTTCATTCAAATTCGTTCAGTTTTTTTAGCGTGACACGCAAACATCCCAACATATAAACAGCCAAACTTTCAGATTTATATTTTTAGTAGGATTTGTATTATTATTAGTAGAATATTTTTGTATTGAGGTCTGGTGTGCTTAAATTAATCGACAAAGTAACTCACTACCTACTACTCACTCTAGATCGACTTATTTAAAGTTTGTCTTGAAATATATTCAATTTATTACATCTACTTATTTGTTTAAACAAATAACCTGTTCCGGTAAATATCCGGTAAAATAAAAAAACCGGTATAATCCGGTAATTTGATTATGACGCAGCACTAGTAAACACGTAATAAATAAAATGAGATGGCTTATATTGGTTACACCTAGGTAAGAGCAAGACGCATAGACAAGCGTCCAAGTGTTTCATCCTAAATGGCCAGTTTAACTTGAGCCGTATTAAATGGATGTAAATTGAAGCAAAATCAAAGTTTATTGATACTTACCGATGAAACGTGATTCCGTCTGTTTTATAATTGGATGTCTTGCTGTTTTTTCCACACCACCGAATAGAACAACACGACATTATGGGGTTTAATATACCAAACTTTCAATATTTTCGGGAGTATCGGGGAACGTACACACAGATCACTTGTTGGTGAGGTACTGTTTTAGGGCGAGCGTGAATTGATATTTATCAGTGACAAATCACTGATCAGTTTCGGAATTGGATGGCTTACATTACTACTCTATTCGGGTTAAATGCTCGATGTTCCCAACTGTCAAAATAATGTCTATTAAAAAGAAAAAAAAAACAACCACGAAGTTTTTATTAAAAAAAAATTCATAGAAGTTTTTATGATTCATGCAAATATTTCTAAAAAATAAGTTACTAATTTGTTTCAATATCAGATTTAATGATTTCATTCAATGAGTTAGGTTAGGTTTCATTTCATTTCATCTCATTAAATTTCATTTTCACTTCATGTCAATAAAAAAATTCTACTGAAGACTTAGCTGTATGGGCATGCCTACCCAGAATGGGTGAAGAAAACAAAAAACATCTCTGCGTATATTCTTTTACGGTTGGCCCCATTTTCCAAAAATGTTCTTTGCGAGTTTAGTTGTTTGTAAATTGCTTCATTTTTTCGCAACTGTATTAAAAATAGTTATTCGTGCGGAGTCGTCATTGCAACTTGTTCCGACTGTCAACCCTCACCTTCGGCGGCGCCTCGGCTCGGGTAGACATTTGTCGGAACTCTTTGCAATGACAGGCTTTCCGCACTTGTAATGAAATATACTATTCTAGAGTATGTACTATGCGATTCAAATAAAAATAGAAGTGACCTGGCGCCATATTGTGACCTCATAGCTGTCAAAGTCAGGGGATCAACTTATTTCTATGTCTTTTAGGCTAGCCATCTTGTTACAAATAATTCACAATAACTTTGTATTAAGTTTAAGGCTTTATTTGTCAATAAAAAATATTATTATTATTATAATTCAAGAACTAGTTAGGTAGGGTGAGCAAAACAGATAAATCCACGAAAGAAAAAGTTTTAATCGTAATACAGCACTTCAATTCCGCTCATCTCTGGATCACACGAAGCACACTGACATCGACAAGATAGCGTCTTCTTTGTTTTTTGGCGAAGTGTTGCCAATAATGAAAATAGAAAAAAGAACAGTTTATATTATTCTTAAAACGAATTATAACTTCGATGGATTTGTCCGCGATCTGTCAGTGTCACTTTTCAAGTGACAGTGACAGATCGCGGTCATTCGAGGTCATTGACGTTCCTCTTCTTACTTGATATGCATTGTATGTATATCTATGTTTTGACACGCTCTGTAGCCTAAACAGCTTGATAGATTTTAACATATCGGATGTCGTTAAATTCGTGTTAGTTGTTGAACTGATATAGGGTATAAAATTTACCTCTTTACAGTAAAGTTTTTAACGCAGTCGAATTTTTTAGTTACTGTTTTAACTATTAAGCTTGTTTTCTAAAGTGTTTTCCTTACTGGCTTTTAAATATTACGCACAAGGACTTATATGTATACTACTAGACGGGCTTTGCGGCCTTAATACATTGCGTAATAAGTTACGTAAATTTGAAACTCCTTAAGTCGACCGCGAGCGGCCGAGAAAGCTAGCTCTCTCTACTAACATCTAACGCTAATTTTGTTTAATGTGACTAAGAAAACGCTGTCACTTTGTATGTGCAGACTTTGTCAATGTGATTTAAAGTTAAACTTTATTTCATATTTGCCTAAAAACAGTAACTGTCTTAAATGAAAATACAACAGCTGCTATCTTAATTTATGCATCTCGCTTTCCGCCCGCGTAGTACATCGATATCACACAGTTCATTTTCTGAATTGCCTGTCTATTAGTATACATAGAAATCTTTGATGATACATGCACAGTAACATAATACTCACGGGGAATGCGACGCCCTCCTGCTGCTCCACGTCGCGCCTCCCCAGTGTTGCCAGTTCAAATTTTTCCAAACCTGTAGATTGGTAAAAAAAAATTCGTAGAATTCCTTAGATGCTATTTCAAAATATCCGTAGATCTGCGGATTTCTAAAGAGGATCTAATCTAAATTATCTTTAGTAAAAAACAAATAAAATAATGAACACTTAAATATTTGTGGAATATACTAAAAAAAATGACGTTACAAACTTAATACTGGAAAATTTTGAAATAATAATTAGACTAATGAAAAACAATGGACCATCTTTACTAAAATTAACATAGATAATTTTTTTCTGGTTTCTGTTAGTTTATTTGGTCAATTACAATGTTTCAGACTGTGAAAAACTATACAATTAACAACTTTTGAGAAATTCGAAAAAAAAAATTCGAGGAAAAGCAAAGACTTATACGGCAGAACTTTTAATAATTGTAAAAACATTGGGATCGTCTGGATTAGAAAAATTTGAGAAATAAGTGACAATTCAACCATCTATGAAAATTTTATAAGCGTTTATATTAACTACCTGTTTTCCAGGAAGTGTTCGAAATTCGAAATAAACGTAATTTAATGCAAAATATCTACGCTGCTATTTGAAATCGATTAACCTGGCCAAAAAATTAGATATTTATAAGCCAAAATGTTCTTTTTTTAATACAGATAGTATAGAAGAAAAGAGATAGTGTCTGCTAAGTTTACACTCCTGATAAAAAATGTTTTTCTTGTTAAGTTTTAAAATTCCGTAGATCTACGGAAAAATCCGTAGAGTTGGCAACGCTGCACCTCCTCGTGTGCGTCCTTGTTTGTACAGCAAGCGACGTTCGTTTCGGTAGTCTTGTTGGATTATCTTTAAACGTAAGACGACGCGCTCCACTTTACGCTCACTGTAGGAGCACGCCGCTGTGACGTTATCGAACTCAGGTTTCATGTTATTATGCACCAGTAGTACATATTGCACAATAATTAATTGTAGATTAAAGTTAAACGTTAAAGTTACAGCCTATACATTTGTAAATGTATTTATAATATTAAATGTATTGAATATCGCCATGATACATTATGTAATACAGCATGGGAAGAGATAGTACATTTGAAGAGAGGGTAGATTTTAGAGATAGGATAATTGAAAAAAAAAATAGTTTTTTGCATTTTTATCTCATTTTCGATTAGTTATGAAACAATATTTTATGTATTGCGGAAATAACACACTGTACAGAAAAATCGTTCATTATCATTTTCCAGCTCCTTTTAACTAGCGTTTCATATTCTCCAAACTCCTGTCTTTGTCTATTTATTTCATCATCTTCACTTTTTAACTTTTTTCTTTTTCTTTGTGGCGTGGATATATTCGTTTATAAACATCAGACAAATCAAACACTCAGAATCAATTAGAAAACGGCTCCGTGGCGCAGTGGCTTAGCAATGAGTTGCTGCGCTGGGGGCCGCGGGTTCTAATCCCGCGCGGTACAAGTATTTGTATGACCTACAAATAATTGTTCCGGGTCTGGATGTTTGTCCTCGTGCAATCTATGTTTATAAACTGCCTCCACGATACAGGAGAAAATCCTACTGTGGGGGTAACGTTTTTAAAAAAAAACCTGGTATAAATGTGTACCCGTGCGTCCGTTAATATATATAAATAAGAGTGTCTGACGAAAAACGTACGTTGTATTCGTGGGCCAAGTGTGGTCAAGTGTATACACCAACGTAAAAGCTTTGTATCGCATACGATGTGTACTTGGGACCAGTATGTCCCTTTTTTTTCGTGGGGAAATCCTCATGGATACCTTCCGCTGCGGGGGCAACAAAAGGTTATGCCAGACTCCTACCGGCTAAAACCCCACGGTGGTTACCATCAGCGTATAAGAGGGGTCCCGGGATCTCCGTTCGGAACGCAACCGGGGCCCCTCCATCGCTTTGCTACACTAATAGCACGTCCCAGGGGCAGTACTTTCTGCCCCCAGCACCCTCGCAGTGCTTCCACGATGTCTCGAGACCACTTCGGAGGCCCCGTTTCTGGTAGGGGAACACCGTTTTCAAGAGGAGGACCGTGACGAACGCCTTGGTGAAGTCGTCTCCGCGCGGGATCCGCCCTCTCACGATCCCGCTCAGAAGCCTCCTTCTGAATCATAACAGATTCACAGAAGGTGGCTACGGCCCTCCACGCCGAATCCCCGCTCAGCATCGCCGACACAACTGCTGGCAGGGAGAGGTCCCGTCCGATGCGGTTTACCAGGTTTGTCCGTTCCCGTTCCCACGCTGGGGCATACTGCGAGTGTGTGGGAAGCGGAGTCTTAGTCCCGTCCACCACAGTGGAAGCAGTCCGCCGTTGCCTCACGTCCAATCCTACACAGATAATCACCGAAGCACCCGTGCCCGGTAATTATCTGAGTAAGTCTGTAGGTGAGTCTTCCTGCTCGTCGCTGCATCCAGGCTTCGAAGACCGGCAGGATTGCTTCAATGACGCGTCTGCGTTCATAGCGCTCCTCGAGTCGAGAGCGCCATGACGCCAGAGCGTTTTGTCGCTCCTGCCGTTTAATTGATTCGAGCGCCTCTTCTGGCTCACTACCACCACTCTGGCGAAGGGCACGGATTCGAACGTACACCCTCGCGTCCATTTCCGCCAGTATATCTAGTGGTGGAAAGCGAGCCAGGATTGTCGCCGCCTCAAAGGATATTGTGCGGTATCCTAGAACGATCCGTATGGCCATCCTCCGCTGAACACTGTAGATTTTAGTTCTCCAGCGCCGAATGGCCAGCCTTTTTGCCCATATAGGCGCTCCATATAGAGCTACGGATCGTATAACTCCCGCATAGAGGCGACGTACTTCCTCTGTCGGTCCCCCTAGATTGGGCAGCAGTCTATGCATAGCACCCGCTACCCTTTCGATCCGGGGGACTAGGCGCTCGAAATGTTCTTCGAAGCCCCAGCGACTGTCCAGGTGGAGGCCTAGATACTTCATATATGTCCCTAGCTTAACTCATCGACTTTAAACGATTGAAATGAAATTGTATACTTTGAGCGATTTCAGAGTAAAATCGTATCAGGATTATAGTGAAGAAGTTCGTCTTGCACGGTAAATGAGATAGATAACTCAATATACCTAATATTATAAAACCAAAATCTCTAGCTCTAGCTAATTTTGTTCTTATTAACATCTGTATTCTGACAATTAAAATTGCTGAACACATTTACAGATTACTCGGGTGAGCTAGACGCGGGCATTTTCGGCGGAGAGGAAGCGCAGCTTCGAGCTGGCCTGGATTTGGACGACCTCACCTTATTAGAAGAGCCCAGTGCACTTCTGCCCGACTCGGCGGTAGAACATGAATTTCGACTGGACCGCTTGTAGTAATGCGCTCCCGCTCCCGCACACAGCGTCGCCACTCGTGCCGACTCGCTCCCACCCGACCCACCGCCAAACAGCGATGTATACAAGTAAGCTGGCGTATAAGTAAACAACGATTTTTGTTCCCAGTCATCGCAGTTGGAGAGGGATGGCGCGACGCAAGACTCCCAATACTTCATGACAATTTCTATCGTTTCAAGTCTGAGTTAGTGAATATAGTACTCGATGTTACTGTCGTTTGTAGTCGTTACTATAAGAGGGATGTTTAGTGTGTTGAAAGAGCGAGACAGACGACAGCGCGACTCGTCACACATTCCCAGCGTACGGGTACGCTAGCGTGCCCGCATTTGTAAAGCGTGCAACTTACCAGCATGGTCTGAACGTTAAGCGGTAGACTGTAGGATAACTACAGTGTGTGTTCAATGTGGTTTTAAAATGTTTTACTCATGACTTTAATTCGAGAACTAGGTACGTTATAGATTATAGATTTTTTTATCGATAGTAAGTCTTTTGACGATTCGTGTACAGCATTAAGTGATAATTCTTTATCTTTTAAATAAGTATTGTGAATATGTACTCGAATATCACCGAAATTTTTACTTTCAAATATAAAATCACACATTTTCCACTGTTTATAAATCCGTAGTCTTATATTGTTTATTATTGTAAATACGAATTTGAAAGTGTTCAATTAATTAAATTGCATTTAAATGGCTAATGTTGCATGCTAGTTTATTGGCGTTTCCATCGGTAATAAAGATTTTCACGATTTTTGTTACATATAATAAAAATATTACCCATTTCACACTTTTCTACTTAGTATCAGCCTTTAGAGATTGCTCAAGCGATAACTGTCACACAGCAAAAATGTTACTTTACCTTTGAATTTTTCACGTCCTAACAGTATCTACGCAATCTCTTGGCACGCGCTTTATTATTTTATAAAGAATATCTACGTTAAGTCAATATTCCTTTTTAAATGTAATTTTTAGAATTATGGTTTAAGGACATTGTAAATACGAGCGGAATTATTGAAAATTCTTTAGAAGCTTTTGTCGCAGACATATCCCTTGTATGTGCGTATGTATGTACGGTTGAAGTTGCGTTTCTTGTGGAGGTCAAATTTCAAGTCGAATATTACAAATATTATAAACTTTGTTTTATTCGACAATATATAAATATACTTTTTTTTGTTTTTTTTTTTTTAACGCGCAGTTAAAAAGGAATTTATGCATTTCACAGTAGTAGAACTACAACTAAAGTGAATATACTAGTTAGGTTTAAGTTTGGACATTATTGATGTAACAAGATCGTACTCGCGATGTCAAAATGGTTCGTGATTTCAATCTCCCGTCGTGTTGACTTTGGTATGTATTTTATCTCTTTGTACATTTTCCTGTGTATATTGTACAAATTTTATGTTAATATTGCGAGTGCGACGTAATACGATTGATTGATTCGTTAGAGAGTTGGTGGCAATTTCGTGTAATATGGCTTCATCTTTGTTGATTATAGACAGACAAAGGGAAATCAAACAGGAGATTAACAGCAAAATCTTCCTGATAACAACAAAAATAATAAAAAAATTAATAATAAAAAAATCAAAAAACCGACTGCAAAAAAGACATTTTAAAAGTAATGCAATAAAAGACCGAAATAAGATTGAGAATAGAAAACAAAATTAAAATAAACTATAAACTAAGTAAATTCTACTTCGGTTTTACAGACTATATTATGAGTTGAAAGCCTCATTTCAATACCCACATTAAGTTTAGTAGCAGGCGGACCCAATTGCAAATTATAGACCGAAGAAAGTTAATAGATTCCGCTTGCCACTAAACTTAATGCGGGTATGACCTTATTTCATGACCTTACTCATCACCCTAAGCCAAAGCGGGTGGGTTGGTAAGAAGCTGGTCACAACCACCAGACCATGGGAAACATTTTATGTGTGTCCCCGTAGATAACAATCGCAACTTAGGTTAGTGATTTGTTACATTATTATTTGCCTTGTAATGTACTAAGTACATTAAATGTTTTAAGAGGAAGACCTACGTAGCGCAACGGACTCTTCTTTGCCTTAAAACCATATCTGCAATGACGAGAAGTATACAGTTTGTAATGTTGTTTTCATTCATCTTTATATAAAAAAATCTTTATATATAAAAATTATGTGTCACATTGTTTGTCCGATGAACTCTTAAACTACTGAACTGATTTCAATGAAATTTCGCACACTGTGTGCAGTTAGGTCCAACTTGAGAGATAGGATGGTTTTTATCCCGATAAGTGACCCTCAATTTTTTTATTGCTAATCTCAGAAGTTTTTTTAGCGTCATCATCTGCCTGGTCAGGTAGTATGAATATAAGTAAAAAAAAGTGAGCTTGTCACATCGTAATTTTCTTAAATCCAACTCATGCAATGTGCCTCTGCCTTCTCTATACATATTTATGTTCAGTATGTTCGACAAAACTACTTTAATATATAAAGGCGACACAATAGAATTACTATTATTACTTGCCTTTTTTATTATATTGCACCTAGAAATAGCGAAAAAAAACAGCTTCCAAATTCTGCGTTTTCAAAACGCAGGTAAAAAATTGCTTATTTTGTTTTTAATTTCCATAAATATTTCCATAATTTTAATCTGTTGTACGATGAGATAGATAACTTGAAAGTTAGTGCCACCAACTCGCTAACTACATGCGTTTTTGTTTTGTTAATGCTCATGTTATTATGTTTTAAGAGTCTAGTCATCAAGGAGTTTCAAAGGAAACTTCACATATTCGTGCAATCGAATTCGATACCGCCACCTATGTACAAAAACCTCACCTAAGTTTGTTTGACATTTTGTTGAAAATTATACAAAAATTACATTTATGCTGCGTTAAATGAATTATTATATTGCAAGAATTTTAAAATCCCGTTAAAATATTCTATAATGTCTAATTTGACTTAAAGAGAGATACCGTTTCAAGATGATTCGGTAGTTTACTATACAAAATATAATATTAAAATTGTGATAAAGAAAATAAGCACAACATAAGTCATAGTAAAGCCTAATCAGATGTTAATGTAATATTTTTTCTTAATAATTTTCGTAGTGTTTTCTAAAATTAGATACCAATATGTATATTAAATGTATTAAGCTACTATCGGAGGAAGTCGAAAAGGATTGATGTGATACAGAATTTACCGTTTTGATTTAATACGAGAGACTAGTTGAGGTACCTATAATTTGCCATTTTGTAAATCGTAACTTTACAACGATTGCAAAGAGTTAAAAATACAGTCTTCAACTGCCTTTATGTTGGTATAAATAACCAACGCCAAAATTTTTAAAATTCCATAGCGTGCATTGTTTTGTAATTTCGTATAGGCAAGTATATAGCTGAGCAGGTTTAGATATTCTACTTGCTCAGTGCAACATTGTATTTGTGTAAAAGTTATATATTCTAAATAAAGATTGTTTTAACTTTTGCATTTCGGATAAAGGGGCGAGTAATATTATGCAAGAAAATACCTTCGGAATATTCGAAGGTGATGATACACCAAATCGTGTGATCGACTATTTTTAATAATTCTGTTGTAAATTCTATCTATTTGTATGACATTAAATGTAAGACATAAATGTTATTCTTCTCAAATATGCACAAACTTATTGAAGAATTGCTATAAAATGTTTCAGAGGTTTCTTTATTTAAACCAAATTATTGTACATAATAAGTGTGATAGAGATGAAACGGTCTCATTTAAAAATAAAATTGTTGTAAGTAATACTTGCATTTTTTTTTTATAATTACAACAAAAATTTCCAAAGTTACCAAGCGTTGCAACTATGGCAAATATGGGAGGGCTATAACGGTGACGGTAAATTTAGGCGTTTTTAAAACATTTTCATGAAATTAAAATTCAGTGACAGCTCACATTACATTCAAATTTTTATTAATAGTTTAATTGCAATTTGATTGTACTTGGTATGCAATTTCAGTACACTTTGTTTTAGTAACATCTAAGAGGCCAAAAAACTGTCGACATTACCTCGTACTAACTGGATGATGCACTAACCAAACAGATTATTTATTGTGTATGTGTACATAACATACGAGGTATGTTCAAAAAGAAACCGAACTTGATATAGCATGCCAACTCAGGTATTGACGCTCGACAGGGTGGCGTAAATTTTGTGGTAACATAGAAACCTGTGATTAAGCAAATAGGATAAGAAAAATCCTAGCTAAACAGAAAACGCCGGGATCCATCTCTTTAAAGTAACCCGAGGGAAGCTACTCAACATCACCGGATGAAACCCAAAGCATCCTAATTGAAACACACTTCCCAGGTTGCTGCGTAACACAGGGGATAAACTGGCTTGAAGATACACTGACACCAATGGCAGAAGACTGGAAAGAGTTGTAGCGGTGGATAAAATCCATTGGGCCATTCACAGTTTCCTCCCCTATAAGGTGGCAGGACTGACGGCATATTTTCTGCACTCCTACAGCCCTAAAGCCCTAATAGCGGCTCGAATCGTCGACGAACGAGCCCATTCCGATCGGCTCAATTCATTGGCACTGCGAAGAGATGTTGCATCCCTTTGAATTTTCTTTCGCATCTACCATGGGGAGTGCTCTGAAGAATTGTTCGGATTAATCCCAGCCGCCAAATTTCACGAACGCACATCGCGGCAGAACTGCCGATACCATCCACACCATCTGGATGATTGGCGGTCCACCACTGTGCGATTTAGAAGATGTTTTCTTCCTCGCACGACCTTGTGGAATCGATTACCATCAACGATTTTTCCGGACCGATACGACTTAGGGACCTTCAAGAAAAGAGCGTACTCCTTTTTAAAAGGCCGGCAACGCATCTGCGATTCCCCTGGCGTTGCAGTTGTTCATGGGCGGCGGTAGTCACTTACCATCAGGTGAGCCGCATGCTCGTTTGCCCCCTCTCCTATAAAAAAAAAAATAGTCAGACTTGTTGCCATAATTTCGGC